CACACGTGTAATCCATTCTGCAGAAAGGAATCTGCAGGCATACACTGCTAATTGTTTGTTTATTCTGGGTCGACCTTCAGTCTAGATGTCATCCAAACATAGGCTCGGGAGAAGACTCAGAGGCCTTGATATATGTCAGCCCTCCCCTGCTACACAGAGAGAGGATATGGTACAGAAAGGACACTACTGTGGTGGCTTTAATAGGAGTGGCCCCTATAGACTCATTCAGAGTCTACAGCCAAGCCTGTAGGAAGTGGCACTATTAGGAAGTGTGGCCTTGTTGGAGAAAGTGTGTCACTGTGCAGGCAGACTTTGAGGTCTTATATGCTCAAGCTATGCCCCGTGTTATACACAGTCTCCTTCTGCTGCCTGTGGATCAACATGTAGGACGCTCAGCTCCTTCTCCAGCACCGTGTCTACCTGCACACTGCCATGCTCGCTGCCATGACGACAGTGAACTAGACCTCTGACCCGTAAACCAGCCCCAATGAAATGTTTTCCTTTATAAGAACTGTTGCCGGGTGTTGGTGGCACAAGCCTTTAATCCCAGCCCTCAGGAGGCAGAGGCAGGTGGATTTCTGGGAGTTCAAGGCCAGCCTGGTCTACAGAGCAAGTTCTAGGACAGCCTCCAAAGCAATGCAGAGAATCTCTCTCTCTCTCTCTCTCTCTCTCTCTCTCTCTCTCTCTCTCTTATACACACACACACTCTCTCTCTCTCTCTCTCACACACACACACACACACACACACAAAGAGTTGCCGTCACGGTGTCTCTTCACAGCAACAGAAATTCTAACACACACACAGCCATGAATCTCAGAGACAAGACTCACCGCCTGACCAGAGGGCAAGACTAAGTTTTGGAGTGGCTGCCTGCCAGATCACCCTCCCTGTACAATCTGCTAGCTAAGGGTGAGAGGAAGACAGACCTCTCAGGTGCCAATCCACAGTCTTCTTAGATTGCAGCCCTCTGGATAAGGCACCGTTTAAAGGTTCAGTTCCTGATTTCCACCCATGCCAGGGGTCACAGACAGAATCACAGAGTAAGAACAGCATCTTATGATGCCCATAGCACCTCCCATCTTAGAGCCCACCAAGTCCTCAGGGAGCAGCGATGGCTGGCCAATCTACTGCATTGCAGTCGGGCAGGATTGCTTTTTAAAGGTCCCATGCACTATTTTTAAAAGAACATCCTTCTAAAATTAGACTATTAGATGTATAGGAAAGGTAAAGATATTGCAGCAGCTTTCTGAACACATATCACCTCTGCTTGAAGCTCTGGCTGACCCGGAACTCCCTACCCTCCTGTGGATTAGGATTTTAGGCGCATGTCTTGTGCCTGGCTTGTGGAGCCCTCTAACCCCGTTCAGGATTTTACCCTCATGACTCTTCATGGCTGAGTCATCTCCTAAAGATTCGCCTCCAGTGCACTGGACCTGGGTTTCAACATACCTTCCTGAGCCATTCACTCTAGTTATAAATCACCTCAATAGAAAACAAGAAGTCCGTAGGCTGTGGTTTGTGAGATGCCCTTTCCAGGATTCTCCATAACCAGGGAGTTGCCCTGACCAGCCCAGGTATCAGAGGGTCCACCACATAAGAAATGATAACTGATTAAGGACAGCAATATGTGGGGGGCTGCAAATTTTGCTAAAGGAGACAGAGATGAAGTCAACCCAATCAATGCCACGCACACACACCCATCTGCCCAAGGCTGAGTTCCAGAAAAAGCAGACTGAGGTCAAGCAATATTGTTCTGGGTCATATCAACCGCCTCTAAATATGCAGGGCAATCTGATAACAGTATTGTGTGTCTAGAAGTTACAGCACCCGACAGCTCTTCAGCCAACAGTGGCAAGGCTGTCAGGCTGCTGTAATCAACCCTTACCCTGGAAACCAAAGGTATTTTTCCCACATGGCTCTGCAGAGCGGGCCAGAGGACCGAGAGTACATGGAAGATGAGACATCACACACCCTACCTTCTCCACTTCCCCAGGTCACTCTGTCCCTTATCTGAACCATAGCTGGGCCCAGCATCAGTAGGCAGGGGAAGTATCTTAGTTCCTATTTCTGTGAGGAGACGCCATGACCACAGCAACTCTTATAAAGGAAAGTGTCTAATTAGGGCTGGCTTACAGTTCAGAGGTCCATTGTCACCACAGTGGGACGTGGCAGGGTGCAGGCAGACATGATACCGGAGAAGCGGAGGGTTCTACATCTTAGATCCACAGGAAACAGGAAGTGAACTGAGACATTGGGCATGGCTTGAGCATATGAGACCTCAAAGCCTACCTCCACAGCGGCACACTTCCTCCAACAAGGCCACACCTACTCCAACCTCCTAATTGTGCCGCTCCTACGTGCATATGGTGGCCAATTACATTCACACTACACAGGAAGCTATACCAGTCTGGGCTTTCCTCTTCTATCCACAAGAAGTCACATTCCCCCGCTCCTCTACACTCGGTCTGCATTTGCTACCCACCAAATGTCTGACACACCTCTGCATTAGAGTTTCCTGGCCTTTTCCTCCCCACCCCCATGAAATGCACCCTCGGGGCCCAGGCTGCACTGACCTACAAGCCACAGCGACAGGGCCAGTTAGCTGTTAAGAGGCCACATGCTACCTGCCTTCCCACAGCCCCCTTCTCCCTGCTTCCCCGCCCTTCAAATTCTCAGTAGGTTGGGAGTTACCCAGCACTCGAGAGGGGCAGGAGCTCATTGTTGTTGGGCTGGCAGATTGGCTTAGTCAGTGAGGGTACCTACTGCAAAGTCTGATGACCCGAGTTCAATGCCCAGGACCAGTCGTACAACAGGACAGAGCCAATCACCACCGTATACCTCCCCCATGTACACATAATTAATAAATGTTAAAAGGTTCAAGGTCATCCTTATCTACATACTGAGTTTGAGACCAGCTTGGGCTACATGAGATTCTGTCTCCAAAACGTGAGTCATTATGGGGATGCAGATGTCTCCATCATAAGCCTCCCGGTTTATTTAACAGATTTTACAAAACAACAAAAAGAAACAGAAGCAGTAACTATGGATTATGAGACTTAAGAGACAGAACCCATTGCAAAATATGAGATTTACGTAGGCCCCAACATGAAAGAAAAAAATTGAGGGTGTGTGTGCATGTGTGCGTGCGTGCATGCGTGTGTGTGTGTGTGTGTGTGTGTGTACAAAATTGCAGGAAATTGCCTAAATAAACTGCCCCTAAATAAAGGCAGTTTAAAAAGAATAAAACAAGGGGACACTCAGGAACGCAGCAAATAAGATGATAAAGCAACTAAAGGCAATGTATATAAAATGAGACCTTACTCAAACTAATCCCCTTGGTCAGTGTTCCCTTGCTATGAAGAGACGCCATGACCAAGGCAGCTCTTTTGTTGTTGTTTTTAGAGACAGGGTCTCTCTGTAGCTTTGGAGCTTGTCCTGGAACTCACTCTGTTGACCAGCCTGGCCTCAAACTCACAGAGATCTATCTGCCTGTCTCTGCCTCCCGAGTGCTAGAATTAAAGGTGTGCACCACCACCACCTGGCTTGACCAAGGCAACTCTTATGAATATTTAATCGGGGCGCACTCACAAATGTAGAGGCGTAAGTCTGTTGTCATCGCGGCAGGAAGCATGGCGGCTCGCAGGCAGACAGGGTGCTGGACAGGCTGAGAGGTCTACATCCGGATTCCCAGGCAGCAGGAAGAGAGCAACCCTGGGTCTGGCTTGAGCTTCTGAAACCTCAAAGCCCCTCCCCCACCCCACCCCACCCTCACCCAGCGACACACTTCCTCAAACAAGACAACACCTACTCCAACAAGGTCACATCTAATCCCTCTCAAGCAGTGACACTCCACGATGACTAAATACTCAAGTACATGAGCTATGGGGGCCATTCTATGCCAGCCACCACATCAAAGAACAGTAGGAAAAGACCCTCCTCCAGCATCGGGGAAGCTATGCATGATCTCAATACTTAGAAATTAGTCTGTGCTTCATTGGATAACATGGTATTATGATCTAGTAAACAAGTCTACTTTTAAATTGCATGTGCGAGCATGTTTGCGTGTGGGTGCCTACAGAGACGGGGGGGGGGGTGAGGGAGGGCGGGGAGAGCTGCAGCTGCAGTTACAGGAGCTTGTGGATGCTAGAGAATGCAAGTTTGATTCTCTGGAGGAACAGCTAGTACTCTTTAGCCACTGAACCATCTCTCCAGCTGAGGTCCTGTCTCTTAGGGCTGCAAACCAAAGTTTTACAGGTGAAATAAAATGGCCTGGCACATGAGTTTTAAAGCTAATCCCCGGAGAGAAGCAGAAATAAATTGCAAAGTTTGAGTTGTAGAACTGGGTTCTACAACTACAGACACACTATTCAGGGCTGTTCGACAATTCTCACAATTAAGTTAAATAATGCAGAGAACATTCATTTGGATTTTATTATTGTTTATGTGCACATGTGCGTGTCTGGGTATGAGAGGAAGTCTGAGGAGTATCAGATCTCCTGGAACTGGGGTCACCAGGCAATTGTGAGCTGCTGGATACAGGTGCCGGGACTGAACTTAAGTCCTCTGCAAGAAAAGTGTGTTCTCTTAAACGACTGAGCCATATCTTCTCCAGCCCCATAGGAAACATTTCCAGAAGTCAAATGAGCCCTTTCATGGGTATTAAAGTATTGACCACTCAGGAGCAGGAAGGTCGGTCAGGGCTGCAGAGATCAAGAAGGCAAGGCAGGAAGGACTGAGCTTGACCAGAGGCCCACAACCAACTGCTTCCGTGTACCAGCTACACTCTAGTGTCCTTGCTGTGAATGCTCCATCTTGATGCACTTAAGGCTATTCTCTACCTAAATTGTATATGCCTGTGCCTGGGTGATGGTCCATGGCGCCATCTGCTGGTGGAAAATGGAACTGACCCACCAAAGCTACGAGCCCCCACCCCCGGAAGAGAGTGTGATGTTGATCTCAGCACCAACCCCTTCCCACTCAGAAAAGACACACAGCAAGCAAACATAGAAGGAGCTTTTAATTTCATCACCATAAACTTTATACTCTGATTTCTCACATACTGTATAAAATATTTACTCTGCTAAATAAATAAGACACAACATTATTGCAATTGAGCGCTGAAATCCACCCCCTAGACAAGAGCTCCTTGGCTCTGGCAGGGAGTACTCCTGAGTTTGTGTGAGATTCCCCAGGCTGTGGCAGACAGACCCCAGAGGCTGTGATAGGCAGAGGCCTAAGGATCCACACTTGTGCTTAGGGTCCAAAAAGCCCCACATAGAGGCTATGGAGCTGGTAGACAGAGTTGGGAGGGCAATCGCTTCCTGGGTCCACTCTCAGAGGGGGCTGTGCGGAGTCAGGGGCCAGGCAGGGACAAGGGGAAAATGGGACCTGGTATGCTGTGTAGATCTTGAGCCCCATTCCACTTTCCCTCAATTAGGGTGACAGATTGCCCAAGGTACTGACTAGGCCAGGCGACCTATCACCCTAGGAGAGGGGTCTGGCAGTATCAGCTTTTCGTTTGGGGGAACCAGTTCTTGGGGTTCCCACCCTACTCAACTCCTAGGCCAAAAAAAAAAAAAATCTGGGAATGAATTTTACTTCTAATGTGTTAAATAAATAAATTAAATATTTAAAGGCCGATGTCTCCATGATGGCAATACAAGGGCCAATAAGCTGAGCCATTTCTCGGGACAGGTTGGGGTAGGGGACTCAGCAGAAAGGTAGTGCTGTGGACCACGGGATTTCATCTTGCCCGTTCAGGCTCCTCCTTCCAACGTCCATGCAGTCAAACCCTGTGGAGGAGGGTTTCCTACGAGAAGCTTCCATACAACAGTGACAGAATATGTATGGACAAGGGACCTAGAGGGAAGTTCATTCAGGTCCCCAAATCCTTCCGTGGTGACTCAGAGCTATTAACTCTGAGCCTTGGTAATGCACCTGTACAAGCCTGCATTTTCATCCCCGAAGAACTTTCAGACCGACACACCCATGTGAGTAGCTGCCAGCAGGCCAGCCAAGCTCTAAAACCAGAGTGGGAAGCCCCAGCTTCTCCCTGTGCAACGATACACCTCACTGCCTTCAGGTGGCAGCAGAGAGCTGCCCCACTTAGGCAACACCAGACCCATAAGGCCAGCGTTGTAGCATGCCCTCTAAGGCTGAGACTCCGTGAGGCCGCAGACCCTTTCTTTCTTCGATGCCTTCCAGCATTCTTCCTACACGGAGTACTTGGCCAAGTCATTCTTATCAAACACTACCTGTGTAGCGAAGTAAATGGCGACCAGACCCAAGCCTGCAGCTGATACCATGTAGGCAGTGACAGAATGACTCAACTGGACAATGGAGCCCATGAGCAGGGATGGAGCCACCTGGGACAGCAGGAAGGCACTGTCCAGGATGGCCAGGTCCAGGCAGATGCCCCGTCCGGGAACAACCTTGGCCTCAGGTAGCTCACCCACCACCACTCGCATGGGGACGTCGCAGGCAGAGGCCCCGCACAGTGCAGGTGTGGTTCCCAGGATGCTGCCGCCGCCATTGGGAAAGGGGGCTCCTGGCTTAGGGCCTGGCAAGAAGCTGGTTGTCTGGCTGTCCTCGTTGCTACCACACCCAGCGTCCCCTCGGTATTTGGGCAGGAACACCTGAGGGGCAAAAAGGAAACAGGATAGGTTGTGTCCGGGTGGGTGCAGGGGTTCCCCGAAGACGACAGTCCCTCGCTGCCTCTGACCCAGGGGCTCTAAGAAACCAGGCAACTGACAGGCTTTCGGGGAGAGCAAAACACCAACAGCAAAAACAAACAAAACAAAAGCAAAAACAAAAACCAGGGGAAACCTATTGCTGCAGATCTAAGCAGAACCTCCAAATTTGAAGCCTGAAGTCTACTCTAGCTTTTCTTAGAATAGAGAAGTCAGCAACAGAAAAGTGTAGAACCCTCTAGAAAAGATGGGGAAAATGGGACAGACAGAAGCGAGACACAGGACAGAGGAACAAAACCCAAATGAGGCCCTCCTAAAGTCCCCAGTCCCGCACAGGCTACCTGAACCCCTTCTATACCTTTCTTCTCCCAGGCCATAGGGAAGTCCTGTCTCTCCTCTAGGGTCCAGGCCCTGGCTGGAGATACTGCCCAAGCTGAGGTCATCACTGTCCTGGCCTTTGACCAGGAAAGAGCCCAGAAAATGCTCGCAGAAGGAGAAGCAGCAGGAAGGCCATTTTGGTGACCTCCACAGTCCGGCTCTGAAGCTTTTCTGATCGTTCCTGTAGGCTGCCTGGGACCAGAGAGCACACATCTGCCTGACCCTATCAACCCTAGGCCCCAGTGGCCTGGGGCCTCCTACTGAAGGACAAGGCAAGGTCTTATCCCATGCTGGCCCTTGCACCAGGCAGTGTCGAGCACAGAAGTCTGATGGGCTGGGCTGGCTGCATTAGGGAACTAGGAGGTCGCAGGCCAGGCCAGAGAAGCCCATTCAAGCCATGCCATAGCTCAGAAAGTGGCCAGGGACAGTCAGACAGGGTGTAGGACCTGCTGGAGACGGGCCTCTACAGACCCTTATGTCCTGCCTGCCACCCAGGGAAAGAACAGGAAGGCTGGATGCTAGAGAGGTCCCCAGGGAGAGACAGCTCTCAGAGAGGAGAGCTAGCTCCAGCATAACCATCAATACTCACACCTCATCTTTGGATGGCAGCTTTTAAAGTACCAGCCCAAAGCTCCAAGACGGCCAACAGAAGCCTGAGGGACCAGGTTCCCATTCCCAGCCCAGCTCTCCACACCCCTGCAAATTACTGCTGAGCAAACTAGCCTACTAGCTGTGGCCAGGGACAGGTCTCTCCGAACCCTGAAAACTCTAGATGGGAAGGCCTGTAGTCTCTCCCCAAAGCCATGCCAACTTGTGTTCCGAATCCAGGCCCTAAAACTCAGTGAGGACAGCACAAGGCAGAGGTGAGCACACTGATTAGGTCAGCAGGCCTTCCACAGAAGAGGGCCTTCCTTCTGCATGGGCTGCTTAGTGTTGACCGAACAAGGAGCCAGGCGCCCAGTTAATTGCTCAGGCAGACAAAGTTAGTATGCCAGGCTCAGATATGCACGGAAGAGATGCAGGAAGAGAATGGAGACAAAGAAGGAAAGCGGGGTGGGCGTGGGGGCGGCGAGTGGACGGAGACAGGGGACTAGACGGGCTAGACTAGAAAGAGATGCGCAGGAAGCAGTCTCTATCTTGCAGCAAGGAGGATACAGATCGATCAAATTCCTCCCTGAAAAAAAGCTGCCTGGGCGTTGGTGGCGCAAGCCTCTAGTTCCAGCACTTGGGAGGCAGAGGCAGAGGCAGGCGATCTCTGGGAGTTTGAGGCCAGCCTGATCTACAGAGTGAGTTCCAGGACAGGCTCTTAAGCCACAGAGAAACCCTGTCTAGAAAGACCCCCCCCAAAAAAAAAGGAATCGCTAAAGCCAGGCTATTGCCACTGCTGCCGTCGGCTGCAGCCACATGCCAGGGGCCCTCGCTCTACCTCTGGATATAGTAATATAGCAGAGAATAGACAACTTCCGTTGTGTGTTTATTCTCCAGGACTCCTAGGGAGGGGCTCTGTACTTCCTGCAATCGTCCACTCAAGTACTTTCTAGTTCTAAGGCCAGGAAGTCCTTCCTAGGATCTAATCTACACTTCTTCAGCAGCTGGGGCCTCTGCTCAGAGAAAGCCCAGCCTCTTCTAACGCCTCTTATAGGACACCCGAACTGTGACCAGCTCAGCCCCCCCACCCCACCCCGTACCTGGCCAATGGGAGTACCTGTTTCTCGCGATGGTAGAGGGAGGCCAGCGTGTAAGGCAGGATCTGCAAGGCCGAGAAGGTGAACCCGGTGAGGGCAGCCGAGGCTGTCACTACGACCACGCTGTGTGACAGGCACGTGGCACCAGCAGCCAGAGGGAAGGTCATCACACTGGCCAGATAGATGGACCGTGTGCCAAACCGCTGCACCAGCCTGTCCATGACCAGGGAGAAGACCAGAGAGATAGCACACTGCAGAAAGAGTCCCAGGCTGCCCATCCGGATGCCTGGGGGTAGGGAAGACGCGGGATAAGGACCCTACGCCGTGTGCAGGGGCCCGAGACTATAGACTAGTGGCCGTGGGCACCTGCTCCCCAGGGCCCTCCCCACACCTGCCCACAACAATGGGATCTAGACTGTAGCCAGAGCTGTTAGTCAAGGGCAGAGGAAGACGGTCTATGTCGGTCTAAGGAAGCAGGACAAGGTGCGTAACGGAGGAGGGGGTGAGGCGCACGAGATGGCCCCACGTCTCTCTAAGACAGCTCCGTGGAATGAGCTAGAAGGCATGGTGAGGTCTTAGGAAAGTAAGCAGGGGGCACGAGGCCAGGGACCAACGGAACCGCACAGACTCAGAAGTCCTGCTGATATAGCAAGGGTAGCAGCCGCATCCATGAGCTGCGTGTGGCACACAGATGAATCCTTTTTCTTTTACTGACAGGGCGCTGGGGACGAGGGGTACAGCCGCCAGCCAGGGCCCCAGGCTGCGAGCATCTCCCAACCCTGGCCCCGTCCTGAGCGGGGCAGCACCCTCAGCAGCTCCCACTGGCTACTGAGACTTACCTTCATCATAGTGTCTCCGGGCCTCCGTGCCTGGCTCGGCTCTGGGTACCCCTCGGTACAGCCCCTCTCCCACAAAGTCTGTGTAGAAGAGTGTGAACGTCATGAGTGCCATCCAGCTGCACAGCTCAGCCACAAAGAGCCGGCGCAGGGTGCGGGGCATCCGGCAGCACAGCTGCTGCAGCCGGGGAAACAGGGTTCCCAGATTGCGGAAAGCCAGGCCGACACGGCCGGGGCAGCAGCGGGGTGGCAGGGGGGGGACCGACAGCCCTTCCGCTGGCTCGGGTGGGCCCAGCACGGCCTCCTCGGCCACGAACAGAGTGGCCGCCATGCAGGCCAGGAAGATGAGAGTGAGGAGGCCAAACAGGCATTCTTCCTGAGAGCCCAGGTACGGGGCCAGGGCGCTGGCGTCCCAGTCAATGGCAGGTAGCAGGTAGCCCAGGCAGCCCCCGAGGCTGATCATGAAGGCGTAGACAGAGAAGGCTTGGCGGCAGTGGTCTGGGTCCCGGAAGAGGTCGGACAGTAAGGCCTCCAGCGGGGTAAAGCACACCTGACCACAGAAGTCCAGCAGCCCCACTCCCAAGATCAGCAGGGCCAACTCCAGGGGCCTGGTATCTGGGCACAGCAGCCCTGCCAGCCAGCCAGCCCTTGGGATGAGAAAGAGGCTTAGCAGGACACCCAGGGACAGAGCCCAGATGAACGGTCTCCGGCGGCCATAGTGCCCACGCCACTGGTCACTGGCTGAGCCTAGGAGCGGGACAGAGACCAGGCCCAGCACTGGGCCAATGCCTGCAAGGACAAACAGCACAAATCAGCAGTCAGGACAAGAGGGACAAGGACCAGCTCTTTGAGAAGGATGGCACAATAGCATGCCACACCGAGGTAAGATCCCACACACGGCATTCCCAGGGGCTCTGCTCCCCTCAGGACGGTGTGTTATGAACCCCTTGTTTTCAGATGAGGAAACAGTCGCAGGCACGCAGCACCTGAGAAGCAATACTTAATGCAACGACTCAGCCCTGCTGTGGGTTAGAAGCAGGGTTTCAACAAACGGCCAGACCCCAGAGCCTGCATCCTCACAGGGCATCCTCTCTTGAAGGAGGGAAGCCACTTGCCTTCGCTCACCTTCTGCTTGTTAACAGCATCAGAGACCCACACTACCTGTTCTGTGCCCAGGAAAGAGACCCCTGACAGGGAAACCATAGTGAAGTCCCAATTCTACCGAGCAGCGGCCACACCAGCTGGGCTAAAGAGACAGACAAACTAGCCGTCTCTAAGCTTCCCTTTCCCTGTGTGTAGATTGGCCCCAAGGGCTGTGAGGTGCAAATGAAAACCAGATAACCCTCCCACCAGGCATCCAGCCGCTCTGAGCCACGCCCCAGGCAGAGAACTGCTGCCTGCAACCCAGATGCACCACATACTAGAACAGAGGAGAGGAAAGGACAGCGACTCACCCAACACCATGGTCATGAACTTCTCCTCCACCCCGACTTCCAGCAGGAGGGGTGGCACGTAGGTAATGCCAGCAGCCAGACACACCTCCAGGCCAAAGGTCAGCAGGTTGACCAGCAGGAGCTGGGCTTTCCGATGTCGTAGCAGACGGCTGGCCCACAGCCTCTGGATCATGATGGGCAGGGCAGTGAGGGCTCCAGGGGCCATTCACGCACTCCACAGGTGAGACGGCTCAGCCCTGCCGTGGCTTCTCCTTCTTGCTACCACCAACTTCCTAGAGTTGAGCCAGACTCCCATTTCTGCCAGCCCTTTGGAACCAGTGTGGCATCTCACCCCACGCTAACACGTCACTGTCTAGTGCCTTGGCGGGGACACCTCTCATCAGTCAGATCCTAGAAGGGCAAGGCAGTCAGTCACATGAAATGTTGAGACCCGGGAACCCGGTGTCTGAATCCTGTTCATTTGCAGGCCGGTGAGGTGGCCCTGTGCTCAGCTGCCCCTGGCCCCAGCCAGGAGGCTCCCGTTAATATTAGAGAAAGTGACATTTGAACCTCAGCGCACCCCAAGGCCAAGCGGATGTCACTCATTGTCTTTTGAAGTGCCGCTACAGTTGCCCTTTTTGGAGGAAGTCAGGACTGGCTCTGAGGGTGATGCTGGACGCCCTCCGCCAGGCCCCACTTGTCTGCTTTCTCTGCAACGTCCAATCGGAAGGACCACTCAATTCTTGTTAAAAGTCAGTGCTAGAGCTGAGAGGTAGCTCAGCAGACAAAGCACACACGGTTCCAACAGGAGGTGCTGAGTTGGGATCCCCAGCAGACTTTTAGCTGGGCATGCATGGCAAAGTGAATCTGTAACCCTGGGGCTGGGGGGAAACAGAATGATCCCAAGGCCATCCAGCTGAGTCCCTGAGCCCAGCTTCAGGGGAAGACCCGGTCCCAAAAAAACTAAGGTGGAGAGCAGAGGAGAGGACATCTGACTGTCAGTCTCTGCTCTTTGCACACACGGATACGCATGAACACGAACACGTGCCCCACACACAAATAATTCCAGAAAATGAAGGGGGCAGCAGCTCAGCTGACAAAGTGCCCGAAACAAAACCATAAAGACCTGAACTCTGAAGCCGGACGGTGGTGGCGCACGCCTTTAGTCCCAGCCCTTGGGCGTCAGAGGCTGGCTGAGCTCTGTGAGTTCGAGGCCAGCCTGGTCTATAGAGTGAGTTCCAGGACAGCTAGGACTGTTAGACAGAGTAACCGTGTCTCAACCCCCTCTCTCCCCAAAAGACCTGAATTCCCACCCCCACCCCCCCAGCATCATAGAAAAGTCAGTGTGGCTGCACTTGCCTATAATTCCAGTGCTGGGCCGGAGTCTGGTGGAACACTGCAACTCACTGGCCAGCCAGCCTAGCCAATTGGTGCTATTCAATGACAGACTGTGTCTCAAAAAGTGGTGTGTCAAGGGAGAGGCCCACTAGTTAACCTCTGGCCTCCACTCGCACAAATACGAACACACAGCACACACACACACGATTGTGTACGTGTAACCTGCCAAAAAAATAAAACAATAAAATGCCACTTCCTCTTCTCTCCCTTCAGGCTCCGAGCCATGTCACACAGTAACCCCCCACGCCCCAGTGCAGACACAAGAGGGAAGAAGGTACAGTTCCTTAAGTGGGGTTTCAATCTGTCACCGAGACACAAAGTTCCCTCAAGTTCAAGTCCCAGGAGGTGGTGGGCAGTGCAACCCAAACGTTACTGCCCAACTGTCACAGGCAGCTGGGACCATGCCTAACCTAAACCCCAGCATCATAGCACAAGACCCTGGACCTCATCCCTATGCATTCACTGGTAGGATCTGAGACGCCGCCAACACTCCCTAGCTGACATCTGGCCTCCACTCACAGAAGTGCACACAGCACAGACCTTCCTAGTTCCTGGGTCACTGGGTAAGTAACCACCAGGTCTTGCTTGCTTCCCAGCAATGGAAACATTCCTGCCTGCAAACTATGCGACTAGGGCATTGTGGGAACTGTAGGACTACAGTTCCCAGCAGTTGTAACATTGAAGCAAGAGGACCGTCAATTTGAGGTCCCGCGATAAACGAGGGGCTTTGAGAAGCTTAAGTGGTAGATAGAGCACCTGCCTGACATTTGCAAAGCCGTGGGTTCAATCCTGCAGAGAGAGAGAAAGAGAGAGAGAGAGAAAGAGAGAGAGAGAGAGAGAGAGAGAGAGAGAGAGAGAGAGAGCGCACACACACACACACACACACACACACACAGGCACGTGCACATGCGCACACACATACACCCTCTGCCAGCTTTACCAGCTCATAATAAAAGGCATTCCCTCCCCTTTTATCTTCTCCATCAACACCAGGTCCCATGGGGGCCCTGTGTGTCACAAAGCATGCAGTAGGTGCTAAGCTGTGCCTCAGAGACACCAGGCACCATCTACCCGAGGAAAAGTCTACCCACTCCACATTGGCCCTCTGGAGTTGGCTGCTAGAAGACCAGGAAATACAGGACTTGCTCCCTCCCCCAAAGTCCCTACACTTTGGTAAGGGGCAGGGCTCATAAAAAGGTGGCCTAAGAAAGGAAGACAAAATACTGACCCCCCAGAGTCCCGAGGCAGAGGCACTGGACAGGCTTCCGTGTCAGCTGGGCTACTGTGGGTTCAACGTGACCCCTGCCCTTTCTTTCCCTAGCGATTCAGAGGCCAAGCTCCCCAGCCTAGAGGGGCAGGTTCTGGGGTAAAAGACTTCTAACCCTTCTGCTCCCCACCCTTCGTCCTGGGAGGGACTGGGCACTCTCCTGCACTGGGTTTAAAAGACCTGGTATCCTCCTTGAGCAAACAGAGACTTTGCCAGGGCCAACCTCACCCATAAAGCTGCCTTCATTCTCCAAGTCCCGCTTTCTCCATTAGTCAGGCCACTCCACCTGCTGCCCTTCCCTCAGTCCTCTGGGCACTTTTGTGAGTGGGAGTGGGGAGCTCTTAGACCACAGGAAAACAGGCACCTTGCCCATCTCCCTACAGCCCAGGCAGCTTCGAAGCTATGGAACCTCTGCACCCCACAGAGATTCTCTACCTGGTATCTGGGGTGCGGACCAGAGGCACACACAATTCATGGAAATGAGTGAGGAGGAGGTAGGCAGGCTCCCAGGCCCCTGTACTTTGGTTGCTGAGCCTGCCCGTCCCTCTTTTCATACCTTCTCTACCCTGGAAGTAGAGATAGATACTCTTGACAGCCCAACTTTTCTGAGCCCAGAATTATCCAAGACAGTCTAAGCCCCAAAGAACCTCTTCCCCCAAACCCTTCTTTCTTATCCTCAATGCCCCCCTCCTCAACTCTTCCCTGCTTTTGGTCTGCCAGCCCTATTGCAGACCCCCCATGCACTGACTCCAGCTGACAGAATTACCCACAAGGCCCTCTGCCCTGGGTACTGAGACAGAAAGAAACCCAGTACCATTCTGGTGGCAGCACTCATCAAAGCTGGAAAGGGACCTTGCGGTTCGGGCTCCCTCATCCTCCTGGAGTTAAAGGGACATGGGCAGGGCGACAGTTCCTAACTGGCCCCCCATTCTCTTCCCTTCCTATCTCAGAGACTTTCAGATTCGCTCCCCACTACTTCTAGAGCCCTTGGTCTGCCCAACAGAAGCCCGAGCAGCAGAGCCAGCCAGCTGCTCACCTGGAGAGGAGGTGGCAGGAAGAGGAAGGTGGTCAGGTCACAGGAGGAAGGACAAGCATGAGCAGCCTTGCAGGAGCAGGTGCGGATGTTCCTCTCAAGCTTCAAACTCCCCCGCCCCCTCCTCGGTGGGCCCTCATGGCCTCAGAGCTACAAAGCCAGAAGAAACCACTGGGAGCCTTCCGAGAACCCTTCGTGGAGCTCGACCATCCTCATCCCTATGGGGTTGAGGAGTAAAGCCTGGGGAGGCGTGGTGGGGTGGGGGCATCAGTGAACCTGGACTCTTTAAGAAGCCTGTGAACCTGGAGATGTAGCCCCAGGGCAGGCCACTCTTTGACACAGCGCCCAGCAAGACTAGGAAATGTGCATGCAAAAATAATGAATGGACGCAGCAGAGGTGTGTGTTTAAAGGATGGAAAACTTACAAAGTCTTCCTCCCAAATTCACCTAAGATACGCCCGCCAGAGCCCCGGGGAGGGCCCAGAATGCCTCCCCTTCACCCCCGGGCAGCCTAGGGAAGCGAAACTGAGTCACAGGAACAAACTTGGCCTGAACTTTGTGCAAAACTCAAAAGCCAGAGTAGAGGCCAAGCACAAGAAAGTGACCCAAGTGAGCCCTGTCCTTCACGGCTCAGTGAGGGAGGGGAGGATCAGAGGCCACATAAAGAGGCCTTTGAGGGCTTTCAAAGGGGCTCCTGCCACCCCACAAGGCTGAGGTGGAGCAGGGGGAGCAGAGACCCTCTGCTGACAGAGACCACAGCCAGCAGAGTCTGGGGACAGGCTCCGCCCCACCTCTGTCACACAGCAATTCTATGGCGTCTTTATGCATGCCGGAGTCCCCACACCCCGCCCAGGCACATCAAACGGCCTCAGCCCCCACACTGACCCCGCAGGCTCCGCGACCCTGTGTCCTCACAAAGCGTTCTCACAGGCTGAGTTCCTCTGGAAGCTCAGAACACACTTCCCTGTCCCAGACCTTCCCAGAGAGAGAAACCCGGTAGCCAGTGTCTCACGCCAAGGCACGAAGAAAAGGAAGGGGTGATCGCCCCAGTTCAACCTCTCTGGCCCACTCCAGGCAAGGCCAGAGAGGGAGTGGGGATCCCTGCTCCTCCAAAGGGGGCTGGATTCAATGCTTTGCTCCACACTGAGCAGACTCTGGAGGCGGGCAGCAAGGAGATGATGACCCTCTGGGGTGTGTTTCCCAGCGCAACACCCCTACTGCCCATACCCTTGCCTCAGTCCCCGGAGACCAAAGCCCTGCGCCTCACCTAATAAGACTTGGTAGGCTGCACTCCTAAAGTGCAGCTGCATGGTAGCTTTCATAAGGAAACTTGGAGGCACCTTAAAGGGGAATGGGGGGCTTTGAGGCACCGAGCTTACAGACCTCACACAGGTGCTGTGGAAATTTCTACCTGGGCTGCTGAGCTGGGAAGGGGGGGGGGTTGGCGGTGGAGGCAGGCAGCATGGAACACTGAACTTTGATACCTCCCAATCTACCACTCAAGTCTCCGGCTTTCTGGGACCAATTATTTCCAAACCAGGCAGGTCTGTTTATCCCTTGCCCCACTGGAGAAAGCCTCCACAGCGACTGCACAAACGGCACTGCCTCACAGGCATCCGGGGACCCCCCTCACAACGCAACCTCGCCACTTTGAGGGAATCCCAACAAAGAACAAGGGCTGGGCACGGGGGAGGGGGGGCCCAGCCCCACCCC